GAGTAAGAGAATGATTGTGGAAAAATAGACACGGCCAAATATTTTAGGGGGAATGGAAAACAAAGACTTTGAACTAAGAAGGACGTGAAATGGAGCTTGTTTTTGCAAAACCTAGGTAGGAAGACGATTAATGAGATAGGTTGCAGTGAGAATGGCCTCGCCCCAGTAGGACCGAGGCACACTCATATAAAAACACATGCAGAGAGCCATATTAAGAAGATGACAATTCTTGCATTCTATAACCCCATTTTATTAAGGGGTATTAGTGCAAGATGTCTAATATATAAGGCCACGAGTGGAAAAATAGCTCTCTAACCCCGAATCCATGTATTCAGCCCATTATTGGAACACAAGATTTTGACAATTGCCAAAACTAAGTGCAAATCATTTTATGAAAAATATGAAACACAAAGAAAACCTCATTTTTTTTATTTCATGAGATACATCCAAGTAGTACGAGAAAAATCATTGATGAAGGTAACAAACCATCTATGGCCTTTTAAAGACATAACATGAGATGGACCCCACATATCATAATGTATTAAAGAAAAAGGAGTTAAACTTTTATTAAGACTTCGAGCAAAAAAAGCTCGATGTTGTTTGCTAAGTTGACAAGACTCACAAAGAAACTCAGATACATTATTGTTTGTAAAAACAGACGGAAATAAATGCCTAAATAAAATGAAAAGAAGGATGCCCAAGACGCTGATGCCACAACCATAAATCCTCCTTGGTTGTTGGGAATTGGATGGAATGATGAGCAAGCTTGTTCGGCCGATCCAAGAAATAGAGACCATTTTTTGCACTATTAGTGCCAATCATCCTCCTCGTGACAAGGTCCTGAAAAAGATAATGATCAGGAAAAAATGTCACATTACAGTTCAAATCCTTAGTAATATAACTCGGGGATAGAAGATTAACAGAAAAATTGGGAATATGGAGCACTGAAGGCAGAGATAAGGTAGGGGTGACATGAATTAAACATTTCTCAGAGATGGAAGAAACAGTAGCATCAGCAATTCTAATTTTATCTTGACCTGAAGAGGGCTTATATGCTGAGAAAAGGTCAGAAGACCTAGACATATGATTTGAGGAACCAGAATATGGGAAAGAAAAGCATTAGGAGAAGAGGCTAAGTTACCTGAGTGAGCAAACGACGAGGAAGATGCACTGGGAGCAGTAGAAGACTGGCGGGCCAGCAAATGACACAGAACATCCTTAAGCTCAGGAGAAGTCTTGCTAGATAAACTATCAGAAGTTGGATCAACTAAAGCGGAAGTAGAATCAAGGCTATCAATAGTAGTAGACTGATGGGCCCGTGGATTAGAGCCACGTCCTCTAGACTGGCCTGATCGACCACCTCTACTACCAGACCGATCACCCCGACTCCTTGATGGAGCCCTATGAAGCTTCCAACATGTCTTACGAGTATGCCGCGGCTTGCGGCAGTAATCACAGAATACAGTATCCTTCCCTAAAGGATGGGAAAGAGGTAGTGACAAACCAGGCCCATCTCAAGGAGGAGCAGAAAGTAATGTTGAATGGTCTCCAGTAGCCAGTGGTAACATAGCAGAACGATGACTCTCCTTCATCTGTATATATGCAAAGGCCTCTTGAAGAGATGGAAAAACATCCATGCCAAGGACACGACTCCAGACCGGATCAAACTCTACATTGAGGCATTCTAAAAACTTGAAGACCCTCTTCTTTGCAAGAAACTTCTGGTAACCAACCGAGTCAACTGTACAGACATGCTTGTAATCCAGGAGATGATCTAGGTGTTTCCAACCATTATTCAAAGAGGTGTAATACTGGAGAATTGTCTGCTTCCCCTATACTGAGCGTTCAATAGTTCGGCTCAGCTCAAAAGACAGAGAAAAATTCCCTTTTCGAGAATATGTAGCAGGGACTGTTTCCCAAATATCCTGGGTAATATCTATGGATAAGTAGCCTTCACTAATCTCATGAACCATGGAATGAATAAGCCATTCCATGATTAAAGCGTTGGTAATCTCCCATTGGTTATCGTCAGGATCCGTAATACCTGGTGCTTGAACTTTCCCATTAACATATCCCATCTTTCCCCTACTCTTTAGAAAAAGTGAGATCATGAAAGGTAATTCTGACCATTAAACAGAGCGGTGGTGATTTTGAGGCTAGGGTTCAGGTTCTCAAATGTAGTAGTCATAACTGGACTGGAGCTCTCCCCTTTAGATGGTTGAGAAGTAGTGGTGGATTCACTAGTTAGGTTAGCCATAAGAACTCTACAGTTTCAATCCAAAAAACCTTGCACGAATCACAAGAATGGAAAGAGGAAAGGAATGGGCTGGAACAAGTAAAATCACATACAGACCACTATGGGAGCATAACAATCAGATTAATGAGTCATCTATGGACCCAAAAAAGAAGCTTTGGGCAACAAAAGATGGGCAGCCTTCAAATACTCATCCGCAGGAGCTGAAATACACACAGAGAGACTAGGATAGCCCTCACAAGGGTCGACTAGGCCAGAAGGGCCTTCGGCTGAAGTCGAAATAGCTTTGTGGGACCTTGGCTGGTTCCGACAGAGACTCAGGGACCAACGGTGGAGGATGAGTGGTGATAGGTGATGGCAGGTTGGTGGCAGCGGCTGTGTGGTGATTGTTTTTAGGGTTTTGGCTCTGATACCATGTAATTTAAGAGAATACAAAGCTTAGGTGATGATTATGATATCATCACCTTTTATATTAACCAATCAATTGTTACCAAAGGAATCCCTAAGTCACTGATTAAGGAATTATATTTTATATTGATTGACTGATTAAGGAATCACAATCAATCAATCAATCACAATCTAATCTAAATAAGGAAACAAGGAAATATTCTAACATTGAGATGTTGTGGGTTCGGTCTCTTCTGCAGGATTTTGGCCTTGTTATTCCCACTCCTATGTGAACGTGTTGTGACAATTAGGCAGCCATCTTCATTGCTAATAATCCAGTGTTTTATGAATGTACTAAGTACATTGAGGTTGACTATCGCTTCATTCGAGATTTACTAATTTGGAAGTACTTTATGACTCTGTATGTTCGGTCCGATGAACAACTGAGTGATATTCTTACTAAACCTTTAGCTCGCCCTTCTTTCCCACACTTTTCTGCCAAGCTGGGCATGTTCAACCTCTATACTCCAGCTTGTGGGGGCGTGTTAGAATAGTTGGGGTCATGTGTGTCATTTATTTATATAATAAGGGGTATTATTGTCATCATGTAAGACTTGAGTTTAATATAAATAAAGTGTTGAGGTGAAGGGTTTGAATCAATTAACCTAGATCCTATTACTTACGTGTTCCTCCTTTGCCTCTTTCTTCGTCTCTTTTCTTTCTCTCACCTTAACCTTAAATTCTATACACTTTTAATCTCTAACTAAAATAAAATAATTAAAGTTATATTAAAATAATTTTAATTCAAACTCTTATTACTATGTTCATTTTCTTCCGATTAATTTTAATTACAAACTCTAAATCAAATAATTTAATGCTAGATAATAGATACGTTCAACAGACTCTAATTACTATGTTCCTCTTCCTCATTCTCCATGATTAATGTATGTTAATTAATTTATTTTTTGTAGGTTTGAGTTGACTTAATGAATTGAAATTTTTATAGGTATTAGTTATTAGAGTATAGTTTTTTTTTTGGTTGAAATTTAAATTTAAAGACGTGAATAAATATAATTAGGTACAGATGATCATAACATATGGTTGATATTCAATTATATGATATGATCTTGCTAAATAATAGTATATGCATTGCTATAGTGGGTTTGTCACAATATGACATTTTGACACTACAATATACTAAAAATATGACATTGGCAGGATTGAAATAGCATGTTATGTTGGAGATGGTCTTTGCTTTTATAGGTATAGGTTTACGAGTTTGAATTTACCATTAGAGTATAAGTGATTAACGTGGAGCATGTCTATATATAGAGATCATATAGACATGCAAAACAAGTTGAGAAAATAGGATATTCAAGAAAATAGATTTTGTAGTAAAAACTAAATCAGCTACAGTGGATTCTTAACAACATATTAAAAGGATATATGATAAAATTGTTTTCTCACTTGTCCCTTGTCATTAAATCTAAGTTGTCAAATTCATGTAATAAGGGTTTGTGTTCAAGTGCATAAGCATATTTACATTCCACCGATCAAATTACAAATTGCCATTGTTTAATGTGCTCAGTTTGTTTTTATGGTAAATTCTTAGTTTCAACAATACCAACACATGCTTCGTTGAGTTCTGTAGTAGTTCCTGATTTCAAAATACGAGTTATCCATGAATCTTTCTACTCTTTGTTATTTTGTAGGCTCATTTCTCTCACTTACACCTTAACCTCCGCAAAAACATTTGTTTAGTTTTGGTTTTCAAATACCATATTTGAGTTTTTTGTTTTCAATATTTTTGTCTCTAGTGAACTTTTTTTAAATTTTAATCATTTTTCAAACACTTGATAAAATATGGTTTTCAAATACCATATTTGAGTTTTTTGTTTTCAATATCTAAATAGTAAAATATTTGTGATATTTTTTTTATAAAAAAAATTCACTAAATACAAAAAAATACAAAAATTCAGTACTTGATTCATATATATATATTTTTGTATTGATTGAATTTGTTTTAGATTTCTCCACAAATATTTTACTTTTTTGGTGGGTTAGGTGCATCTAAAATAAAATAAAAAATTTGACTAACTTATGCAAAAGTTGAATAAAGGCAACAAAACACGAAAAACAAAAAACTCAAAAATGAGATTTGAAAACTCAGAAGCAAACAGAGTTTTTTGTATTCGTAATATAGTCTCTGATTGCTGATATTTTCTTGATCTAGACATTTGATGACTGTCTTTTTTAATTTTTTAAAATTTTTTTTAAAGTTCTAAACTTGTTTCATCTATATTTTGGTGTGTGTGCGCATGTGTGCGCTTGTTTTAAACTATATGTCGTCTTTTTTCAGAGACGCATATTGGACTACACAAAATACGAAATGTTGAACACAGCTCTCAAAGCATTTGGTGATCTAGGAGATGATGAAGAACTAGGACCTGTTGACTGGCCTACTGTTAAAAGACACATTAAAAGCTTAAAAGATGTGGAAGGAGAATGTGTGCACCCTCATACTGTATCTGAAAATGATAATAATTTGGACTCTATGAACTTAAAGGATATACGGATACGCTTTTTGAACGGTAAATATTTGTTTATATCCTGTTTGATCTTACAATATCATATCTGATTAATTTTGTTCTTGTCATGTATCTCTTTTAGTTTTCTTTGGCCACAGTGAAAACCTTACATTAAAGGCCTCCAATTCATCATGTAATTATGATTATGTTTGTTCAAAGAAAGGCATATATAGCGATTAAAATAGAACTTTATCCTCTATTGTCTGTCATCATCATTAACATGTAGCCTATTAAATATCTTCCATTTCATTCAAGAGCATTTACCTAGCAGTTTTACTGATTCTTACTTTCAGACTTAATATTCTGCTCTGCCTTCATTCGATAATTCTTCTACCAACAATAATTTGCATAAGGAACTTTATGCAATATAGCTTATGGTTGTACTGTTAAGTGTTAAGTTATTGGAGTCTAAGGGTAGTTATGTAATTAGTGTTAGTGTCTTCTATTATAAATACATGTGTACACAAAGGGAAAAACCTAAGTTTGAAATATAATAGAAGTTGCAACCGTTTACTCTCTCTCACTCCCTCTCTCTTGATTCTCTCTTTCATTCTTGTTCTTTGACTGTAAAATCAGCATGGTATCAGAGCACTATCTTCCTCGAAGATTTTTTTGTTCTCCTTCTTCTCTTTCTTTTTTTCCCTTCGTTTTTTAGATTTTCTTTGTAAGAGATTCAAAAAAAATAAAAAATAAATAAACACCCATCATGAATGACTGGTGATGGGTAACCATCCTATAATTTTCTTTTAATTTTTTGTCCCTTCTTGATTGGTTTTTTCCAAATTTTTCTTATTTTTTGGAATAATGGGTGATTATTCTGGAAATCCTTGATTGTGCCACTTCAAGCTGGTTTCTTCACTTCCCCCCTAATCCTTGCAGGCCAATTGGCTCTTTGGAGGCTCTTTGTGTCCTTGTTTTGCTGGATTTCTGGGGTTTCTGCCAGTTTCAGTCCAGTTCGGCACTTTCTGGTTCGGTTTAGGCAATATTTGGTTTGACCCTGCACTGTTTTTTGCTCTAGAGGTAACTTCTGGTCCTGTGTTTGGTTTTTTGGCCCCGCTTATCTCTGATTGCTGCTTCCGTGGGTTGTCATGTTATCTCTGTGGTGTGGTTTTTGAGTTTCCATGGCTGAAAGCGAGAATAAAGATCCTAAGGCCAATGAGGAGCATGGGACGACTCGTGTTATGAATCTTTTTGGTATTCCCTCTCTTCAAATCAGTCCCGGGAAACTGGATGGTTCAAATTACTTGATTTGGTCATGCTCTTGTAATCTTGCTATTGCCGCCCACCGTTTGATTGGCTACATTACTGGTGACCTTCCCTAACCTGCTGATGGTGCTTTACATACTCAATGGATTTCTGACGCTTTGGTTATGACTTGGCTGTTTAACTCTATGCGGCCCACCATTAGTCGAACTTTTCTTCTCTTGGATACCGCTTATAAGATTTGGACCGTTGTGGAACAAATGTATTCATAACAGGGTAATGATGCCTAGGCATATGAGTTGAGGAAGAAGATTCGGGGCTTTGACCAGTAGGATCGATCACTTGCAGTGTACTATGCTGAGCTCAGTGGTTTGTGGTAGGATTTTGATTATTATCAGAGTTTCTAAGCTGTATGTTCAAAGTATGCTCTTTTGTTTTAGAAATCTGTGGAGAAGGAGCGTGCGTATGATTTCCTTATTGACCTGAATCTAGAGTATGATAAGATTTGGGTTCAAGTGTTAGGTTGTTTTAGTTTTCCCACCTTACGCGAAACTTTGCTCTTGTTCAGCAAGAGGAGAGTCTACGTAGTGCTATGGTCCATTCCTTTATGTTAGAATTTACCATCACCTACCACCACTACCACCTCACCTACTCCACTAAACCTAACCCACTACACCACTACCACCTCACCTACTCCACTAAACCTACATCTATATAAGGAACCATTTGTAATAGACAGAATATGTATCAACACAACAATCAATAATACATAAATTTTTACACTTTATTTCAGATCGTTTTTCCTTGGTTGCTGCTTCTACCACCCGGGACACTAAGCCTAGTCCGATTTAGTTTGGCAATACTAGTACACAGGTTGATCAAGCACGGTTGAAGTGTGATTATTGTAGGAAAGACAGGCATGATTGAGAGCATTGTTGGAAATTGAATGGTCGTCCTACTTGGGGACGTGGTCGTGGTGGTGCTGTGCGTCCCCAAGCGTATGTGTCTAAGATTGCTCCTAGTACCTCTTTTGAGCCCATTACTCTTTCTCAAGATGAGTTACACACTCTCAGGCGTTTGATGGCTCGGCTTGGTTCTCCATCTACCATAGTTCCTTACACTTTTGCTGCTTCCAATTTTGCCCTCATAGGTATTCCTGCTAGTGCTCCTAGTACATCTTCTTCGCCTTCTCGGATTATTGATTCCGGTGCTACCGACCACATGACAGGTGCCTATAGTCTTTTTGATTCTTATTTTCCTTGTTCTGGGAGGGATAAAGTTAGAGTAGCTAATGACACTTTATTTTCTATGTCTGGCAAGGGTTCTCTTCATTGCTCATCTTTACTTTCTTTTTCCTCTATGCTTTATGTTCCTAATTTTTCTACCAACCTACTTTCTGTTAGTAGTCTTACTACTTCTCTAAATTGCTCAATGGCATTTTTTTCCTACTCATTGTGTCATTTAGGAACTGGCTACAAAAAAAAAAAAAAAAAAAAAAAGATTGGTAGTAGTAGAGCATATGGTGGACTGTACTTTCTGGATGTTGTCCCTCCCACATTGTCGTTGTCCTCCACCCAGGCTTTTCAGTGCATTACTGGCTCCTCTCTTTTTCTCTTTCATCAATGGCATCGTCGTTTGGGTCACCCTTCCTTTAGTATTTTAGAAAGGCTTTTTTCCTTCATTAGTTCATGATTGTTCTAGGAATAATTTTGTTTGTGATGCTTGTAAACTTGCTAAGCATAAACATACTTGCTATTCTTTAGTTAATGAAAGAAGCACTTTTCCTTTTATACTTGTTCATATTGATGTGTGGGGGCCTTCCCCTGTAGTGTCTACTTCTGAGTATTGTTGGTTTGTTACTTTTATTGATTGTTATTCTCGTGTGACTTGGGTTTACCTACTTCAAACTAAAAGTGAGGTCTTTTCTTGTTTTCATCTTTTTCATAAAATGGTGACCAATCTCTTTAATGCTACTATTAAAATTCTTCGAAGTGATAATGGGACTGAGTATGTTGATGGTGATTTTCGAGGGCATATCTTGAGGAGCATGGTATTCTTTATCAAACTAGTTGTGTTGGCACTCCTCAACAAAATAGAGTCGCCGAACAGAAAAATGGCCATCTCCTTGAAGTTGTTTGCTCTCTCTTGTTTACTATGAATGTCCCTAAGTCTTTTTGGGGTGATGTTCTTACTGCTGCTTACCTTATCAACTGTATGCCTTCCAGTGTCTTCCAATTCCAAATTCCTCTTACACTTCTTTCTATGCTTATCCTACTTCTTTTCTTCCTTCTCAGGTTTTTGAGTGTGTCTGTTTTGTTCATCTGCAGCGTCGTAGTCATGGGAAGCTTGATCCAAGGGCTATGCATTGTGCCTTTCTTGGATATTCTATTACTCAGAAAGGTTACAAATGCTATGATCCTCACACTTGTAAAGTGTATGTTAGTATGGATGTCACCTGCTCCTTTTTACTTCTCCTTCGCCATATCTTCAGGGGGAGAGTGTTATGGATGAGATTGTGGATGAGGCAATGCCATACCAACATGAGTTGTCCTTTTTCATTCGTAGTCAGTGGGCTGTTATTTGTGATGAGGGGGAGCCTAAGAGCGTTTTTTATGGTGAGCCTAACATTGGAGGCCACTTGGACATGGTTGATCTTAAGACTTATTCACAGCGTCAGAAAGAGCAGCCGTCCCTTGTGGCACCAAGTCAATCATCGTCCCCTATGCCAGTTCTAGATCTTGTTTCCACTAATTCCACAGGCAATGTACCTCATTATATTTCTTCACAATAGTTAACAGTCTTCTTGTTGATGATTTGGGACTTCCTATTGCTCTTAGAAAGGGGGTTTAGGCTTGTACTCAACATCTTATTTTTAAATTCGTGTCCTATGATTCATTGTCTCCTGTATATCGTGCTTATGTTTCGTCTTTTGTCTTCTGTATGTATCCCACAAGGATGGAAAGAAGTTGTTAATAATCCTAAGTGGAAATGAGCTATGGTAGAAGAGATGCAAGCCTTGAACAAGAATAATACTTGGGAGTTGGTTCCTCTTCCAAATGGGAAAAAACTAGTGGGGTGTAAGTTGGTGTTCACTATTAAGAAGAAAGCAGATGGGATAATGGTACAAAGCAAGATTAGTGGCCAAGGGATTTACCTAGACATATGGAATTTATTATGAAGAAAACTTTGCTCTTGTAGCAAAAATGAAATCCATTTGGGCCATTCTTTCATGTGCAGCTAACTTAGGATGGCCTTACAGCGACTAGATGTGAAGAATGCATTTCTCCATAGGGATTTGGAGGAGGAGGAGGTTTACATGGATGAGTCACTAGGATTCTCTTCCCAGTCTATAGCTGGAAAAGTCTGCAGGGTGAATAAAGCTTTATAAGGTCTGAAACAGTCTCCTCGGACGTGGTTTAACAGATTTTTGAAGGCAATGTTGAGATTTGGGTATAAGCAAAGCAATGCATATCATACCATGTTTGTCAAACGCAATGCAAATAGGGTAACTGTGCTTATTCTATATACGGATGATATAGTTGTAATAGGGAATGATAAGGAGGATGTGACACATCTAAAGATGCAGTTGGCTAATGAATTTGAGATAAAAGATCTTGGTCCGTTGAGGTACTTTCTTGGGATTGAAGTTGCCAGGTCTGACAAAGGCATCTTTATTTCCCAAAGGAAGTATATCCTAGATCTGCTTGAAGAAACGAGCATGTTAGGCTGTAAACCGGTTGATTCACCAATTGAGATTAATCATCATCTTTGCAGTGGTTTGGTAACTCAGTGGAGAAAGA